TGGTATAGACTTAATAAAGGCAATGTTTTAAGTTGCTTAGTTTGGCAGCAAGATATAAGATGGACCAAATAAATATGTTTCAGAATAAGTTGATTGGCTAAGATGTTGTTATACTAATCTATCTGTCAGATACCAAGGAACTTATATTGAGATGGTAATATGGAATGGGTTAAGCTCAATAGTAGAAATATAATGAAGTAGCTAAAACTTGTGGTTCTGAAATCAGATAGTGGATTTGAATTCCCGCTCTACCATTTATGAGCTACGTGACCTTGGGCAATTTATTTAACCTTTGTAGGACTGTTTTCTATAAAATTGAGATGATATTGATATCTATCTTTTAGGGCTATTGTGAGGCTTACATGAGATAATACATATAGAATACTTTTGGTACCTGGCACACACTAAGAACTAAAAAAAAAAAAAAAAGGATAAAAAAATAAAACTAGAAGAAATTATAAAGAAAGTACAGGACAGCATGACAGAATGCTTTAGGAGACAGAAAGAAATCTCTTCATAAGTTTTAGCCTGGGAGACCAGAAGGAATACTGAAGCTCCTTTGATAAGGAGGTTGTTGAATTCAGGTGCCCATTACTGTAGTATATTCATTCCTCTGGGAGATACTCTATATAAATACAGAAATACAGGATTAGAACACTGATGAAGGATAACAACAGGCAATGTTGATTAGGAAATTATCTGAATACAGATGATAATTGAAGTTATGAGTGCCTGAGTTCCTCAAATTTTCAAAAATAAAAGCAGAAAACTGAGGACAGAGTTTGAGAAGAAACAACCAGAAAAGACATAAAAACCTCAAAAGGGGGGTACCTGGGTGGCTCAGTGGGTTAAGCCTCTGCCTCCGACTCGGGTCATGATCTCAGGGTCCTGGGATAAAGCCCCACATTGGGCTCTCTGATCAGCAGGGAGCCTGCTTCCCCCTGCCTCTCTGCCTGCCTCTCTGCCTACTTCTGATCTCTCTCTCTGTCAAATAAATAAGATCTTTAAAAAAAATAAAAAATAAAGTTTTAAAAAAGCTCAAAATGCATCATCCTAGAATATGATGAAGCTCTAATCTTAATTACAGGTAGCCAGTTTTTCCTCTGTATTCTACACTAATATAATTAAAAGCAGTAATGTATTGAGGAAAAGCACTACTCTAGTGGCCAGGAAATCTGGATTCTAATCCAGTTTAGTTAATTTGCTCTGTGCCCCTTAGGTGAATCACTTGTCATCTTTGGAGCTCAGTTTTCCTCATCTACAAAGGAAGAATGTTGGACTAAATGATGTATTAGTTCTTTTAACTTCATGATTTTATGAATAAATAAAGGAAGTTTAAAAAGTTTATAATCCAAAATCACTCAGGGCCTTCCTCATATTTTCCCACGGTCCTGTCACAGATGTTTAGTAACCTTACAAAAAGCAGGAAGCATTCAACATACTTTCCTAGAAAAAGAGTTTCAAAAGTCTCTCAAATTTTCCTGGTCTTCACGACAGGGCTGTGTTTACTACGATTTTATTGAAGCCTCTGTATTTTTTTTAAAGGTTTTGTTTATTTATTTGACAGAGAAAGAGCACAAGCAGAGGGAGCAGCAGGCAGAGGGAGAGAGAGTAGCAGGCAGAGGGAGAGGGAGAAGCAGACTTCCCACTGAGCAGAGAGCCTCATGCAGGACTCTATCCCAGAACCCTGGGATCATGATCTGAGCCGAAGGCAGCCACTTAGCCAACTGAACCAGCCAGGCATCCTGAAGCCTCTGTATTTTAATGGGTAAATACCTATGTAAAATATGAAAATCTGAATACATATTACAAATTATAAGATTCATTGCAAAAGGATCCATTCCTCTTATAAAAGAATTAACTTAGTGGTTTCTTCTTCCATTTATATTTATGGTTCCCTACAAACCCTTTCCTACACCTTTTTTATATGTAGAAAAAATAAAGGTTTCCTTAGCCTGCTACAAAATGACTTCGTAATTCCTATCTCAGAATTTCTAATCTCTTCTATTACAATGTTTAAGATAATCCTTATTACTGTCTTAAGGTTTTATTATTTTAGTTAAATCATTACGCTTTGGCAAATTCAGGGGGAAAAGCTCTTATGATGAGAATAAATTATCTAGAGATGTTGATAATAATACTAATTTTAAAATATTTTAATCTTGTAATCTCTCCTATAGTGCAATCTTCACTACACTCTCTATGAAATATAAAAAGGACTACTTGAATTTTAAAGCAATGCAGGGATATTCTGACTCCCAGGCTCAGATTAGGCTGTAATATAAAGCCTTTTAAAATTTAAATAGGTTGTTTTTCCCTTCTAAATTTATGAGGTATAATTTGCATATAATAAACTGCATATGATAAAAATATACAATTTGAGAAGTTCTGACATATGTATTCATCTGTGAAACCATCACTACAGTCAAGAAAATTAACATGTCCATCATTACAAAATGTTTCCCCTTTGTGATACTGCCCTCCCACCCATCTCAACACCTCATTTTTCATCCCTCCCATCCCACTGATCTCCTTTTATCACTATAAATTGGATTTTCTAGAATTTTAAATCAATGGAATCACACAGTATGTATTCTTTTTTGCCTGGCTTCTTTCACTCAGAAATCTATTCTGAGTCTATCATTTGTTCATTCCTTCTTATTGTCAAGTAGTATTCCATTGTATAGTTATACCACAATTTGTTTCCATTCACCAGTTGATGGGTATTTGGGTTGTTTCTAGTTTGGACCTATCACAAATAATGCTGAAATGAATATTTATAGTCTTTGTGGGTAAATACCTAGGAGTGGAATGGCTGTATCATATGGTAGGTGTTATGTTTAGCTTTTAAAGAAATGGCCAAATTTCCACTTTAAGAAATGGTCCAACTTTCCAAAATAGTTACATGATTAAAATTCCAATTGTTCCACATCCCTGTCAACAATTTGTATGATCAGCCTTTTTAATTTTAGCCATTCTGTGACCAGGGTGCATGGTGATACCTCATGGTACTTCTACTTTGCATTTCCCTGATGACTAATGATGCTAAGCATCTTCTCATGTGTTTGTCATCAATATATCTTCATCAATAAGGTGTCTTTTTTTTTTTAAGATTTTATTTATCTATTTACAGACAGAGATCACAAGTAGGCAGAGAGGCAGGCAGAGAGAGAGGCGGGGAAGCAGGCTCCTCGCCGAGCAGAGAGCCCAATGCGGGGTTCGATCCCAGGACCCCGGGACCACAACCTGAGCCGAAAGCAGAGGCTTTAACCCACTGAGCCATCCAGGTGCCCCGATTAGGTGTCTTGTTTAAATTTGATGGCCAATTTAAAAAATTTGGTTCTTTGCTTACTGACTTGTAATTACAAGTTCTTTATATATTCTGATAGAACTCATCTAATATATGCTTTGCAAATACCTTCTCCCACTCTATGGCTTGCCTTTTTACTTAAGTATGTTTTGAAAAGAAGTTTTAATTCTGATAAAGTAAAATTTGTTAATTTTCTCCCTTCTATGGTTTATGCTTTTTGTGCCATATTTAAGAAATCTTTGCCAAATCCAAAGTAACTGAGTTTTTTTTTTCTTATACTGTTGTCTATGAGTTTTAGAATTCAGAGAATTTAATTGATTTTCCTGTTTCTTCAACTGTAAAATGAAGGTATTAATAATACCTACCTCATAGGATTGGTATGAGGTTTAAATTAATACCTTTAAAGTATTTAGAATAGGTCTTGTTCTAATGATCAATAAATATTATCCATTATTAGAGGGCAGGATTAATTCTTCACAGGATAAAGCTACAAATGACTGAAGGACAGGTGCCCAAACATTAAGAATTATGAATAGTTTAAATTAGCTGCTAAGTAGATTAATTTAGTTTAATCTACCATAAATCGTTTAAATCTGAGTTTAAATCCTTGTTCTGCTGTTTACTGGCTATGTAACTTTGAGCAAACTATTTAAACAAAAGCAATGCCTGGAAGGTGACCTAGTATATAGTGTGTGGCCCACAACATACTATTTGTGTGTGTGTGTGTGTGTGTGTGTGTATGTGTATATACATATATACATATACATATATATACATACATATACATATATATGTGTATATATATATATATATACACACATATACACACACACACACACACACACACACATACTATACGCGCTTAACGGACAGCAACAGTATCACCAGCATGTGTTCATAATAATAGCTGCCACCTATGAGATGCCATCTGTGAGATGGGGACCCTGTGCTAAATACTTCCCATACAGTCTTCTACTGTATAAATTGGTTTTCTAGAATTTTAATTTTTTCTAGTCTTCTACGCTTCTTAGCTGCAGCTAGGTGAGTATAATCGGCCCACTCCGGGTAAAGTAACAAGATTACCTTTGTGTAGCTATGACCAGTGGGAGGTTGGAGGCCTAATAAGGCGGGGTTTGGACTCCAACCCCGGACCAAATCCGGATTTACAGTGCGGCCTTTGTCAACAGCTGGGCCCTCGACAGCTGCTGGGGAGATGTCTCCAGGAGAGGCGGCAGCTGGCCAGGCTAGAGGCAAGTCCACCTCACAGGGCCGCGCCTCAAGGAGCCTGCCAGGCGAGGCTTCACCCGCCCCCTCCTGGGCCGCCACCCTCCCCACGCAGACGGCCTCATGGGGCTCGGGGTCGAAGGTTCTCAGACAAAGCGGCATGAGAGAGCGGGAGCAAAGGACAGTCCTGAGAGGTCGGCCAACGTTTCCAGGAAACAGGCTGGGGGAGGGGGGGGCGGGGGCAGAGCTGCTGCGTCACTGAGGTGCGACCCGGTCGCAGGCCGAGGCGGTGTCGCCGCCGCCTGCGGGTCTGAGCGGCGGGCTGAGGCGGAGCTGCCACCGCCGGAAGCGCAATGCCTTGAACCTGGGGTGAGCTGCCCAGTGCCGTCCTTTCGCCATTTCCCTTCCTTGTTGCTCCAAGACCCTGGGGCTGGGAAGAGAGACACCCACCAGTCCTCGGCTGCCGAGAGGCGCTTCATTGGGGAAACAGGCCTGGCCCTGCCACCCTTCCTAGGCCTCGGCTTAGGGCGCAACGCTGGCTTGGGAGGCCCTTCCGTGGACGCTATCTCCCCAACCAGTTTCCAGTGACCGGGGCTGCAGATGTCTTGTCCGGTAGGAAGGGTGATTCGGGGGAACCAGGAGAGAGTGTGTCCTCCTCGAGCCGGGAGCCGCTTTTGAATATTGCCGCCGGCGCAGTCAGTGGGCCAGCGGATGTAGCTGTTGGTTAAAAGTGCAGGTGCGCTTGAGGAGGGGCACAGGCGTCTAGGATGGCCAGAGGGTGGCGGGTGTGCTTAGCAAACACACTGATGCTGCAGAAACCTGTGTGTCCCTGCCGCACTCCAGATTAGAAACCCTTGCCTCGGGCGATAGCTCTGAAATGGTCAGGTGGGTCTGCTTAGCCGGCCCCCGGTTGCTAAATTACCTTACACTGCCCGTCCTCCCAAAGGGCTTGCCTGATCGAACCAGCTACCTTGGCCCGATCGGAGACAAAAAGTTATCTTGCTAATAATTGTAGTAACTATTCTTGGAAAGGAAGCCTTCTGTGTTAGCGTTTGCAGTGATTTATTCTTCTATGTGTATTGTGTTACCAAATGTGGATTTACTGCTGTTATTCAAATTTATCCCTACCCCTTTTGTTAAATTTCAGTCTACGTTCATATTCCAGCCCTGTCCTATTTCATGTTGCCAAATGATTTAGTTCTTTCCTCTGGTATATTTATAAAGCTGCCTTAACAACACTTATTATGGTTTGTAAGTCTTAGATCTTCTGCATAAAGTTATTTTTCTGCTCTTCTCTGTCCATTCAGAATTTCATCTGGGCTATGAGGTGCCATGGATCAACGATCCTAAATCAGTAACCTCTATACTGAAGACACTCCTAAGAAATGATGCTTTCTGAATTGAAAACTCAAAAGTAGTATGGATTTTTGTCCTTCACTTTGATTCTCCCTGACTGTGGTTTCTAAGTGGTTTCCTCCAGAATATGATCCTAGGTTTCAAAATGTGTTCTTTGTCATTTGGTGTAAGCCTGATCCTTCTTACTTCATGTCTAAACACTTAACACACTTCTGTTCCCCTTCTCCCAAAAAGGCAGGGGAGGTCCAGAGAGAGTTCTTACAAGTCTAGTTAGAGTGTTTTTCGAAACATGAAATGTATTTAGCAAGCACAGCAGTGCTATCAGAAATCCATAGTCTTAATCTCAAGTACTCTCTTTTGGTAGTTTTTCTTTCTTTAATTTTTTTTTTTTTTTTTTTTTTCTTAAGATCTTTGAGGGGCACCTGGGTGGCTCAGTGGGTTAAGCCTCTGCCTTCGGCTCTGGTCATGATCTCGGGGTCCTGGGATGGAGCCCCCCATGGCTCTCTGCTTAGTGGGGAGACTGTTTCCCCCTCTCTCTGCCTGCCTCTCTGCCTACTTGTGATCTCTCTCTCTCTGTGTCACATAAATAAATAAAATCTTTAAAAAAAAAAAAAGATCTTTGAGCCCAGAAAAAGTATTCCAGCTCCTATAGTAACTGGTCTAATTGTTTCCTTATGAACCTGTTAATAGCTGCTATTAATTTCTTGTCTTGCAGACCAGCTGATATCTGGTTACAGATCTAGAATTTGATTAAGCAGTGAGTAGTAAATAAATAGTACCCTTAAGGATCTAGTATTTAGAACTTAGTTTTTACCACTGATGTTAAAGCTAACTTAACAATGAATGTAGTTGATGATTATTTCAATTATAAATATCATTTTTGTAAATAAAGAAGTAGATACAAAAATTCATGGAGAACAGGTTTCAGAGAGGTTTTCTAAGTACTACAGTACTTGCCACTTAGTCATTTTACTGTACTTTCAGGCTTCTTAGCTTTGCTTTAATCCTTTTATGAATGGATATGGTTTAAACATTCATGGAGCTTTTTGCTTTGTTTCGTTTTTTTGTTTTGCCAGTTACCCATGATGTGATTTTTATATCTTTGTAATGAATATTTGAACTACAACAATTCATTTGTTAGAAAAAGAAGTGATCAAGTGTATCTTACCACCCACTAGAGAATGTGGCATTTTTGGAATTCTTGATATTCTTATGAGTTTCAAAATAACATTTATTCTTTACTTAGAAAATCCTTCAATCCTGGTTTTTTGAAAGCACATTACAGGCATACCTTGGAGATATTGCAGGTTCAGTAACAGACCACCACAGTAAAGCAAATATTGCAGTAAAGCGAGTCAAATGAATTTTTTGGTTTCCCAGTGCATATAAAAGTTACGTTTATGCTATACTGTAGTCTATTAAGTGCAATAGCATTATGTCTAAAAAAATAAAGTGTATGCCTTAATTTAAAAAATACTTTATTGCTAAAAAACGCTAACCATCATCTGAGCTTCCAGCAAGTGATAATTTTTTTTTTTTTGCTAGTGGAAGGTCTTACATCAGAGTTGATGGCGATTGATTGGTCAAGATGATGGTTGAAGGTTGGAATGGCTATGGCAATTTCTTAAACTAAGACAGTAATGAAGTTTGCCTCATTGATTGACTCTTGTTTTCATGAATGATTTCTCTATAGCATGTAATGTTCTCAAATTGGAGTCAGTTTTCAAATTGACTTCTCAAATCCTACCATTGATTTACCAACTTAAGTTTATGTAATATTCTAAATCTTTTTTTTTTTTTTTTTTTCATTTAAACAGTCTTCACAACATCTTCACCAGAAATAGATTCTATCTCAGGAAACCACTTCCTTTGTTCATCCATGAGAAGCAACTCCTCATCCATTGAAGTTTTGTCATGAGATTGGAGCAATTCAGTCACATCTTCAGGCTCTACTTCTAATTCTCGTTCTCTTGCTCTTTCCACCACATCTGCATTATCTCCTCCACTAAAGGCTTGAACCCCTCAAAATCATCCATGACCTTTAGAATCAACTTCTTTTTTTTTTTTAAGATTTTATTTATTTATTTGACAGACAGAGATCACAAGTAGGCAGAGAGGCAGGTAGAGAGAGAGGTGGAGGCAGGCTCCCTGCTGAGCAGAGAGCCCAATGCGGGGCTCAATCCCAGGACCCTGGGATCATGACCTGAGCTGAAGTCAGAGGCTTAACCCACTGAGCCATCCAGGTGCCCCTAGAATCAACTTCTTGCAAACTACTGTTCACATTGATATTTTTATCTCTTCCTATGTATCATGAATGTTCTTTTTTTTTTTTTATTTTTTTTTTTTTTAATTTATTTGACAGAGAGAGATCACAGTAGACAGAGAGGCAGGCAGAGAGAGAGAGAGAGAGGGAAGTGGGCTCCCTGCTGAGCAGAGAGCCCGATGCGGGACTCAATCCCAGGACCCTGAGATCATGACCTGAGCCGAAGGCAGCGGCTTAACCCACTGAGCCACCCAGGTGCCCTGTATCATGAATGTTCTTAATGGCATCTAGAATGGTGAATCATTTCCAGAAGGTTTTCATTTGACTTTGCCCAGATCCATCAGAGGAATTGCTGTCTTGTGGTGGTTATAGCCTCACAAAATGTTAACAAATAAGACTTGAAATTACTACTTGATCCATGAGCTATAGAATGGATGTTGTGTCAGCAGGCATGAAAACAATATTAATCTCACTGTACATCTCCATCAGAGCTCTTGGGTGACCAGATGCTTTGTCAATGAGCAATAATAATTTGAAAGGAATCTTTTTTTCTGAGTAGTACCTCTCTACAGTGGGCTTAAAATATTCAGTAAGCCATATTGTAAACAGATGTGCTGTCATCCAGACTTTATTGTTCCATTTTTAGAGCATAGGCAGAGTAGATTGAGCATAATTCTTAAAGGCTGTAGGATGACTGAAATGGTAAATGAGCACTGGCTTCAATTTAAAGTCACCAACTACAGGGGCTCCTGGATGGCTTAGTTGGTTAACTGTCTGCCTTCCACTCAGATCATGATACCAGGGTCCTGGGATTGACCTTCTCCCTCTCCCTCTGCCAGCTGCACCTGCTTGCACTCTTTCTCTCTCAAATAAATAAATAAAATCTTAAAAAAGTAAATAAAGTCACTAACTGCACTAGCCCCTAATAAGAGAGTCAGCCTGTCCTTTGAAGCTTTGAAGCCAGGCATTGACTTCTCCTCTCTAGCTATGAAAGTCCTAGCTGACATCTTCTTCCAGGAGAAGGCTGTCTCATCTACACTGGACGTCTGTTGTTTAGTGCCGCCACCCTCATGTCTTATCTGAGATCTTCTGGATAACTCCTTGCAGCTTCTGTATCAGCACTTGCTGCTTTACCTTGCACTTTAATGTTAACAGAGATGACTTCTTTCCTTAAACCTCACGAACCAACTTCTGCTAACTTTTCTTCTGCAGCTTCCTCACCACACACAGCCTTCTTTGTAGAATTGAAGGGGTTAGGGCTGTGCTCTGGATTAGGCTCTGGCTTAAGGGAATGGTGTGGCTGGTTCGATCCTCTATCTAGACCACTTAAACTTTCTCTGTATCAGCAGTGAGGCTGTTTCACTTTCTTATCATTTGTGTTTTCCCTGGAGTAGCACTTTTAATTTCTTTCAAGAACATTTCTTTTGCATTCATAACTTGGTTAACTAGTATAAGAGGCCTAGCTTTTGGCCTATTTCAGCTTTTGGCATGTCTTCTTTACTAAGCTTAATAAGTTCTAGCTTTTGACTTAAAGTGAGACGAGTGACTCTTCCTTTCACTTAAACACTTAGAGGCTGTTGTAGGGTTATTAACTGGCCTAATTTCAATATTGTTGTGTCTCGGGGAATAGGGAGGCTAATGTAGAAGGAAAGAGATGGGGGAACAGCTAGTCTGGAGCCATCTGAATATACATAACATTTATCAATTAAGTTTGCTATTTTATATGGGTGCAGTTCATGGCACCCAAAAACAATCACAATAGTAACTTCAAAGATCACTTATCACAGATTATCATAACAAATATAATAATAATGAAAAAATTGGAAATATTGCAAGAATTACTAAAATGTTACAAGAAATGAAGTGAGCAAATGCTTTTGCTCCAAATAGATTTGCTCCATGCAGGGTTGCCACACACCTTCAACTTGAGGGTGGGGGATAAGAGGCAATATTCGTGAAACACAGTAAAGCCATGTGCAATAAAGCAAGGTGT